CCCGAGTCCCCCACCTTAGACTCTGCCTTGCCCCCGGGTCGTCCGCCCGAATCCCCCTTTTTGAACTCTGCCTTGCCCCCGGGCCGTCCGCCCGAGATCCCTTCCTGGTCCTCTGCTGTGCCTCTGGGCGGTCAGCTCAGTCCCGTCCTCCTGACCCCCTCCACCCACCCTGGTGGCCTAGTGATACGATTTGTCGGTTCGTCTTTTGTTGTTGACTGTGTTCACCGGTGAGTGTTCTGTCTGTCCAAGTTCTATTTCATTATCCTTGAAATAAAGGTATTATCAGTTTAATCTGCATTTGGGTCCTGCTTCCTTCGCTCTACCGGGACATTTAGTAGTTGTACTGCCTGCCAAGTTTAACGTCCCAAGCACAGCTTTTGTTTTGGTTTGAAGAATTCCCTTTAAATGGCAAAGACAATATGCACAGAAAGTGGACACAATTAATCGTACTCCGCATTGTATTTAAAAAATATGTCAGTGCATTTCATTACCCCTGCAATACATTTCACATATGTGCCATTGTATTGTACACATTATTCAAAATAATTGAATCCAACAAGCCGTTTACGACGTGAATACACATACAGAGATGCTGTATGAGAAACCAATGTGAGTTTGGAAAATTGCACAATATTACATTGCATTTAGCTGACGCTTTTATCCAAAGCGACTTACAATAAGTGCGTTCGACCAACAAAATACAAACTTGAAGAAAACAGAATCATATAAGTACAACAGGCTTCATAGAGCAAAAACATTTCAAGTGCTACTCAACTGGCTTTAGCCAGCCCTTTATTAGTATATAAGTGCTTTGTTAATAGTTCTATCGCTCGAAGTGGAGTCGAAAGAGATGAGTTTTTAGTCTGCGTCGGAAGGTGTGTAAGCTTTCTGCTGTCCTGATGTCAATGGGAATATAAATCTATTCTAGTAGACCTCAACAATGGAATTATGATCAGTAGAAATGGCCTTTAAGATAACCCTAAACTATTTTTCCTGTAAATAGTTGCCAAGTTATTGCAGGCAAAAGTTGAGTCAGCAAAAACACGTGGGTTTGCTATCCTGGCTCCAAAAATGGTGGAATGAGCTCCCCATTGAAATCAGGACAGCAGATAGCTTGCACACCTTCCGGCGCAGACTGAAAACTCATCTCTTTCGACTCCACTTCGAACGATAGAACTGTTAACAAAGCACTTATATACTAATAAAGGACTGGCTTACCTAAAGCCAGTTGAGTAGCACTCGACATTTTTTAGCTCTATGAAACCTGATGTACTTATATGATTCTGTTTTCTTCAAGTTTGTATCTTGTTGGTCGAACGCACTTATTGCAAGTCACTTTGGATAAAAGCGTCAGCTAAATGCAATGTAATGTAATGTTTGTTTTATAAACGAAAAATAAGACGGCACAAGTTGCAAGAATATTTGTTTCTATTTTTAATATGACTTCCAGCCATCAGTTTACTACAACACGGATTTCCTGTCCCCCCTATTCTTTTTTTAAGTTGTGAATAATCTCACCCATAAGCCACTATGAATTCAAGGAATCAAACTCTATTACTGTAATTATCATGCATACAGTCATTTGAATCAAAGAGAAAAGTATAACGTTTGTCATGAAAGGAAAACAAAGCAACACAAACACTATAGTTTCATTTTAAGAAGGGTTAGTTGTGTCAGTAACACAATGCAGAAATCCACAAAAATATATTCAAATGTTTTTATAAAGAATTTACTGTAATACATTTGAGGAAGCCAGGCTTTTCGCTGGCATGAGGAAATACAATGTTCGTTAACAAACTTTTACCAAACAAACACACAACTCTCACGTCATTGTTTGTTCATTTGTTATAGAATGGACATACTTGCATATTATGGGTTACTTAAATCTTTCTAAAAACCATGATGCAAACAAATTACTACATACATTAGATCATGGGTCGGCAACAGGCTGCCCGCGGGCCATTGTTGGCCGTAATTTTGAGAATCAAAAATAAAATATTATTTTGATTTTTGTATTATTTTTTATTTTTTTACAACATAGGACCGACACATCAGGGTTTCCGTTAGCCGCCGATCGATCGGCCGCCGGTCATTATCGGCCGCCGGTCATTATCGGCCGATATTCACTCTTAATAGTTTGATCGGTGCTCTCTATAAAGGCCGATCAGGAGAGCTGGATCTGATCGATATGGACATAAACGCGAGTGAAGTGTAACCGGACCGGAGAGAGAGATCAGATCAGCTGCTGAGTCTGATGGAGACACACAGCTCTGCATGATCACCTGAAGCCCCGCCCACTGTTTAGCGAGCTGCATGAGAAACTGACGGGCTGTCAGGAGAGAGAGGGAGGGAGAGGGGAAAAGAGAGCATCCGTTTCTCCCGTGTTATTATTCAAAGTTAATGTAAACTTTTGAATAATGTACTTCATCTACTACAAGTAGTTTGTTTGAATGTAATAATTATGTTGTTTGTTGTTTGTGGAATCATTTATTGAAAAATGAATCTGAATTTGTTGATCTGTAACGATTATAAACTGAAGCAATATAAAAATGAGCCCCATTAACTGAGTTTTAAACATCAGCATATCCTGTCATAGTCCGGTGATTACCTGCTAACGGAAACTCTGCTACATGATTCTTCTTATTATTATTATTGAAACATGACCGGTAAGTTTCAAATTTGTCCTGTAAAATAAATTCTGTCCCGACATATCCGCTTACATTCATAATGTCAGCGGAGGGAGGGGAAGCGGCGCTGTGGAAGAGCAGAGTGGCGAGGGAGAGCTGTCATCTTCCCTTTACAAGCTTCAAACATGTATTTATCGTGTGATTTTGGAAATAAAAATATCATATTCTGAAAGCCAAGACTTTGTTTATTTAAAATCAAACAAAACACCCGATCCCCGAAAAACTATTTTTTTACGCAAATCCACGTTTATTTTGAAATGAGCGGTTGCGACTTTCGACTGATTTCGATAGAGCAGGTCACATATGGCAAATGTGTGGTTGGGGGGAACCAGGTCAATTAAAGTACTTATTTAACTATTAAATACATTGAGTTTGAGTAAAAGACTTGGTTACTGATTTATTTAGGTTATAATATATTAAATTGCAAAGCAAAACTGCTGTAATTGATTTATTTTGTCCTTTGGTATTTTTTAAAGGTTTTCAACCTGAAAGAATCCTAATGTGTCCTTGAAAAGTTGAAATAAAGAAAAGGAAAAAGGATTCCAGTTGTCCCTCAAGCCTCTCAAATGTGGGCAAACACTCAAATAAATGCCAAAAACCCAGAGAACTTGACAATACTTATCAGAATAAAAGTATGTTAAATAACACTGCTAGTTAATAACTCTACTTTACTCAGTGGAGGCTCGTCCATTGAGGAAAGGGAGGACCATCCTCCCTACAATTTCAGAGAAAAATAAACTTTGAAGAGAACAATAAATACACCTCAATTTAAAAGATAAGTCTGTTAAAATACAGATAATAGCCCTGGCGTTGGGACTGAAATGGGGCTAGAGAGGACGAGCCTGGGCTGGTCTAGCCAGAGGCTCTGGATTGGGCGCCTATATCATCAGTGAACCAATCAGCGGATCTGACTGCGCATCAGAGTGTTGATGGGGAGGCTTATCAGCGATATCAGAGTTTTTTCTGAACCGGGGAACAGGGGCGCTGCGCCCTCTTACCAAAATCAATTCCTTGAATTAGGCTTTGATTATGTTCTGGCCCGCCATCTTGCGGCTCAGAAAAAAATTGGCCCACGGCCAAACTTACTTGCCTACCCCTGCATTAGATGATAAATTAATGTAATCTAGTCTGCTAAAACACTGATTATTTAGGGAAGTGTTGGTTATTATGCAGACCAAAACAGTTCCCCCAATGTCCCATGTATTATTATTGGGACACTTACTTTTGCAGTTTAATGACCATCTTAAATCTGAAACTAACACACTCACAGTGTTCTGGGAGACACATACTGAGAGGTGTTGTTTGTTTTAGTGAAAGGTAGATAGGCTGAAGTATTCAGGTCAGCAGAAACGCACAGAAGGAAGTGTAATGACTTAATGTAGTATTTAGTACAGCTACTTAGTTGCAACACATTTGTAATGTGGGTGTTCTTGTCTCTCAGGCAAGGACATGCTGCTGCTCAAAGAAGACACATTGTTAGCTTATCTCCCAGTAGCATTTCTATTTTAAAAATATTTTTTAAAACAATAATAACATTTCACAAGCCTTTTTGAAAACGACTTACAACTGTAAATGAATGTAAAATCTGCAAATTAAATGTAATTAGACATTACATTACTATATTCACAACCCCATTGCTGGTCCATCCAAGTAAAAAAGTGATTCAAATAACATCCACTGTAGAGTATGATTAATTATTATTGTTAATATTGTGAGTGAGACACAGTTCCTGACAATCACATTGAGTTGCATCACAGACCCACCTCACAAGTTCTGACGACAGGGCCACAAGGATTCCTCTGATTTCCCTTTTAACCTGTCCATATGATTTGTGTAGCTGAAGTAACATCTTTTACCACTGAAAAACATGTTATCAAGTTTACTCTTGTTTGCAGGAGTAGCCACTTGTTGCAATTTGTGACGTTTGCTTATAATTTAGAACATTGGATGTCAGTGAACTCGGTTGTTTCTCTCTCTCCCTCTCCCTCTCTCTCTCTCTCCCTCTCTCTCCCTCTCCGTCCTCTCATTGTGATTCGCCCTCTCCCTCTCCTCTCTCTCTCGCTCTCTCCTCTCTCTCTCTCTCTCTCTCTCTCTCTCTCTCTCTCTCTCTCTCTCTCTCTCTCTCCGTCTCTTCATTGTGATTCGCCTCTCTCTCTCTCTCGTCATCTCTCCTCGCCTCGTCCTAACTCTCTCCTTCGCATCTCTCCTCGTCTCTCTCTCTCTCTCTCTCTCTCTCTCTCTCTCTCTCTCTCTCTCTCCTTTATATACGGTAAGACTCCCCCTCCTCTACTCTGCTCTTCTATAGCTCGATCTATGGTACGAAAGCCTCATTTTCTCCGTTTTTCTTCAGGATGGCATTCTTCAAATATCTTCGCTCTGTTAAGAATGAGATTATCCTTTTCTCAACTCCATTACTTCTTCTTCCACTGCCTTTAGTGATCGGGACATCGGTATGTAAAGGCTTTTTTTAAACGATCGATAAATTACAATGTAACTTTGACACTGATAAAAGTAGAGCAATTCTAAGATTAAGTTTCAATATATTGAAATGTTGGATCACATTGTTGTTATTTTTCAAAATATAGCACATCATTTATTTAATTATGCATGATTTAAAAGTTGAATTTGGGAAACTTTTTACATTCATTTTTAAAACATGAGTGAACTAAATTCAGTGCGTCATACAAGTAGCTTTCCCTAAAAAAATGAATCTGGTGTGCATGGTGCCCTCTTGCACCTGTTTGATGCGCACAACATGCGCACTTGGAGTAGATTGCATGAGAGCTGTCCAGTGTTGCCTGAGGCTGCATTGCTCTGAAGTTTTGTTATTTTAACTCCTTGTTGTTAACATGAAGGGTCATGTCCAGCGTGGGCACACAGAGTCAAAGGGCTCAGTCCCCGTTGCTACTGCTTCATGTCACATAGAGGCATGCACAGAGACTCTAAGCATGTTGTGATAAGCAGTCATGAACAATGGCATAGTGTGAAGGGAGGTACAGAGTATGAGGTCTCTAAGCGATAAAAGACACAGTTTGGGAATCTTTGCTTGCTTTAAAATGCTGAAGACAAATTGTGTTTTATAAGAGTCAACAAAAGCAACCAATGTACTCTCCTTTAACTTTTTTTTTTTATAGTATATATTTATTTTTCTGTTGCAGCAATAAAACATAACAAATGAATATCCCACAGAGCAGGAACAACATGCATGCTTATCTACCCTTTGAACCACCTTAATGTCCCAGAAGAAATTATGTAATAGTAATTGACCCCATAAGCTACCTTTACACCTCATAACGTGCTTGCTCATTAACCAGTATGTTTTTATGTGTTTATTTTGCAGGAAGCAGAATGTGCCTTTGTGATAATCATGATGGCAGTTTACTGGTGCACAGAGGTCCTACCACTGGCAGTCACTGCTCTTCTCCCAGCCATCCTTTTCCCTTTGTTTGGCATCATGCAATCCAAAGATGTAAGTAAGATAACTGCAAAAGTGTGTGGAATTTACCCAGGAAGGATGCATTTATGTTCACACACACACCTGACTCTGTGTGATCCAGGTGTGTATGCAGTACCTGAAGGACACAAACCTGTTGTTTGTGGGGGGGTTGATGGTTGCTGTCGCCGTGGAGCACTGGAATCTGCACAAGCGCATCGCCCTGAGGGTGCTGCTCTTTGTTGGTGTGCGTCCAGCGCTGTGAGTAGCTTACACAGGAGATTCTGTTTGGCTTTTTATCTTTAACATCTACAAATCCATAGTTTATCCAACCATCTTTTCAAACAGCTGATATAGTTAAGGTAACATGTTTCAAGTTGTTTATTGCCACCATAAAAGTCTCTCTTTGTCCCTCTTTATGTCTTGTAAAACACTCAGGGCCTTTCTGTACAATCCAAGGCCACTTACATGATTTTTTGGTTATCTTTCTGGCAGTTTGATGTTGGGCTTCATGGGTGTCACAGCCTTCTTGTCCATGTGGATCAGTAACACAGCTACCACAGCCATGATGGTGCCTATTGTGCAAGCAGTGCTGCAGCAGCTCAACAACAGTGAGGACGAGATACCTAAGATCCTCAGCTCAGAAGAGCCGGAGCAGACATCAGAGACTGACAGCAAACAGGCTCCACAGACAGAGAAGCAGAGTGAGGGACAAGGTGAGCCATTGTTACCTTTTTTTGTTTGGCAGAGGAAAATGTATAGTCTCACAAGCTTCTCATGCGTATACAACTATGTTTCTAGCAGTCTTTTCTTTCCCTGCTCTCTCCTTGAAGGACCAGTGGTGGTGACTTTCTTGGATGCCGCAGTCGAGGATGCCATGCGTAAGGATGCAGAGGAAAAGATGAAAATGTGTAAAGGGATGACCTTGTGTGTTTGTTACGCTGCCAGCATTGGAGGCACTGCCACACTGACAGGAACCGGTCCCAATCTGGTGCTCAAAGGCCAGATGAACCAGTGAGTGTTTACTCAAAGCTGTGTTTAGTCATGCTCCATTACTTTTAATGTTTTTTTCAATGAAATTATATACTCACTTCTTTTTGTTTTCCTTAGACTCTTCCCTGAAAATGGAGATGTGATTAACTTTGCCTCCTGGTTTGGCTTTGCCTTCCCTAACATGATCATCATGCTCACGCTGGCCTGGCTTTGGCTGCAGTTTGTCTTTATGGGATTTAAGTGAGTTTGATGATGGTTAAAGCCTAATTACAGTGACAGAGACTTGACTCAACATCAAAAAACTTTTACCGCATCAGGTGTGTGATTTAGTGTAAAAGTGACACAAAGGTTTTTCCCCATGTGATCACTCCAGCTTTAAGAAGACGTGGGGTTGTGGGGCTGTGAAGACAGAAAAGGACATCGCTGCTTATAATGTGATCCGTGAGGAGCACCGTCGGCTGGGGCCCATGTCCTTTGGAGAGATAAGTGTCCTGGGTCTCTTCACACTGCTGGTGGTGCTGTGGTTCACAAGAGAGCCAGGCTTTGTCAACGGCTGGGCGACAAATATCTTCAACTCCAAAGCAGAGTGTGTAAACAAAAATACAGCACATTTTCGCTAACACATTAACCCTCCTGTTGTGTTAGTTCCCCCCCCTTACTTTGGTGTTCACGGTCACGATCCTGTTTTAACTGCTATTACATTAGCACAAACAACATTAATCATCACCAAATGTAATTTAACACCCTTTCAAACTGTACATATTGTATCAGACTACTGGTATACATGAAAACTGCAGTAAATATACAAAGAATAGACACTGAACATATATTGCGTGTGCCAGGTGTGATCCATGTGGGGGGATGGGCACATAAGAGCGGGAAATGTATCAAATTGTTCTGTGTGTGTGTGTGTGTGTTTGTGTGTGCCAGGTGAGATTCACATGGGGGGAAAACACATCTAGTGTATGTGTGTGTGTGTGTGTGTGTGTGTGTGTGTGTGTGTGTGCGTGCGTGTGTGTGTGCGTGTGTGTGTGTGTGTGTGTGTGTGGGGGGGGGGGGGGTGTTTGACCGGGAACACCATTGGTTACAAAGTTGACTAAATCATCCAAAATTCAATGAAAGTGGTGAGCAATTTTATATGTTCAAATGTCTACTGTGAAGGATATCATAAAGCCTTAATGCAATCAAATGTAAAACAAAAAAGTTATGATTGATGAAAGTAGTAAATCGGTCAGATTTGACCCGAACACAACAGGAGGGTTCATCTAGTAAAGGAGGTTTATTTATCTCAGTTTGTTCATTCTATTCTCACTTCACTTCTCAGGTATGTGACAGATGCCACAGTGTCAATCTTCATTGCCATCCTTCTTTTTGTTTTACCCTCAAAACCCCCAAGTTTCTGTTCGTGGAGGACTCAACGTTTTGACACAGGTAAGCCATGGTTTTGGAAAATGTATAGTATCAGTCATTCAGTTATATGCATGAAAAGAGCATGAAAAGAGCTGAAAGACTGTACAATGATACTGACATTTAATGTATTGGATCTGTAGCACCCCATCAAAATACCGGGCCGACTCCTCCTCTGCTCACCTGGAAAGTTGTTCAAAAAAAGTTACCGTGGGGCATTGTGCTTCTTCTTGGTGGAGGTTTTGCTCTTGCCAAGGGCAGTGAAGTAAGTGGCAATGACAGTCAAACTGTTCAAGGGGAATTGGGCAAAAGTCTTACACACAATATGGCAAGACTAACTGGAAGGGGAGTCTTAGAATAGAAATGTATTTACAATCTGTAATTACCTGTAATCTGTATAGTTTTTCTATTTATGGAGGCCAATCCCCCACTCAAATCAAACGGCTTTGCACAATGGATTCATAGAAACTGTTTACACTGAAACTGTTTAATATAAATCAGCCTCATTATTAACTCTACAATAACTTAATCTATGCCAACCGAAAAATGTTCTACTGTTGCTTGGTCAAATGTTCCCTGCACACACATGTTGCTTTAAAAGATCCTTTGTATGATCACACATCTGAATGAGAGTATAAATACACAAAACAAATCTTGGCTGTATAGTTAAATACTGTTTTTTATTCCTGAAAAGACTCTGACTCTGTATATGTTTATAATATATAAAGGTATCTGGACTCTCAAAGTGGATGGGAGATCAAATGACTCCCCTGCAACACATCCCTCCCTGGGCAATAGCTATCATCTTATGCCTGCTGATTGCTACCTTCACAGAGTGCACCAGTAATGTTGCCACTGCGACGCTCTTCCTACCTGTCTTAGCCTCAATGGTAAGTTCTTAGAGTGAAAGTAAAAAAAATAGAGGCAGAAACTAAAGAAGCAGCAGATAGACGATCGTGTTAGTTAGTAGTGTTAGTAAGGTGAAGTGCCACTTATCGTAATTTCTTGAACTGGTTTCCCCAATTGGAGTGCAGCATTGAGACTACTCCCAGTGGGAGCCGGCCTATTTTCACTTGTTTGGTTACCCATGTAGTTGGTCATTCAGGCTGAATGTGTTTGGTCCCCTTCCCCGGGCCCCTCCTTCCATTAATATCCTGCCAAACACACCAATTCAGCCCAGTCCCTTGTTATGCTGCACAGCCCCCCCACCCCCTCTGCTGAAGAATGACGTTACTGTGCCTGCCAGTCGAGCACTTGAGAGATGCTACAGGCTGTGCCAAGCTGGGTCATTCACATAGATATGTATTTATTTGAGTGCACAAGGTGTCCAACCCTCATGTGAAAATAGAGATATAGAGAAAAGACAGAGAAAAAATTATCTGATCAGTTACAAGAGAGGAGGTGACACTTTGTGGCAGTCATGGCTTGTGGTATGTCACTTCATGTGTCATCCTGTCAAGTGAATCTTTATTATTTGATCAGACAAGACAAAACGTTGTCATCGTGGTGACCTGATATACAGCCCATAGTTTAAAGAAGACTATACACTTTCCCTTTGTTTATTTTGAGAACCAGAAATTACTGTGCACTTGTAAGTTACTGTGCTGCAGCATATGTAATTCTGTAGCAAATTCCACAGAGTAATGCTTTCTGCATTTTTGTAGTCTGCCATTATTGCTACATCTGTGGAGCGCTTCTATTTTAGATATCATGACTCAGCTAGCTTACAGGAATTGCATTTTAATTACACCCACCTTATAAGAGTTCTCCCTACGCACTGAATTGCACACATTTTACTGTTGAGTTATGAGTCAGTGATTACGGTTGCAGAAAAATAGTCAGATGGAGGTATTTGTGATGTAGGCTTGGTTCATCCCTGTCGCTGACTGTGATCATTTCTGTGTGATTATTGCAGTCTCAGTCCATTGGAATCAATCCACTGTACGTCATGGTGCCTTGTACGCTGAGTGCCTCTTTTGCTTTCATGCTGCCTGTTGCCACGCCTCCAAACGCTATAGTCTTCTCTTATGGATACCTCAAGGTTTCTGACATGGTAAGTATGGCAGCAGCTTCTTGTGTTTGTACATTCAATTATATGTTGAACATGCAAAGTTGGCACTCTAGTGCCATTGTTACACAGCAAGGACAGCTGAACTCATACGTTCACTGGCAGATGTAACCTCAAAACAATTAAAGGAATATCTCAACATCTAGGGAAATGCACTTCTTTGCATAGTCTTCATGACTGTATCCCAAACAGCAAATGTTCAAGTATTTAACATGTTACTTACTAAGCTATCTTTGCCTCCCTAATTGTTCTTCTCATCTCTGCACATTATGTGACACAGATTCAAAAGCAATTTTATGAGCTCAGATTTGTTCCAACTTCGAATATTTAAATTGCACAAACACGTTTTAACATATTGCGATGTTTAATTTGGCACTTCTGTTTACTTTGCATGCAACCTCTTCACTTTCTGTAAAACCACACTTATGCCTTTAAGGTTAATATGAAGTTGCAGCAGGTGCGATGAACTTACTTTAAATGTATTTGAGAGAATAAAAAAATGTCCTCATAAAAGACTGCAACTTGAAGTTTCTGTTTTTAATATTTGTATACAGATGTTTGACAAAGTAAGTATTGAGATTTAGATATGGAGGTAACAGAATCATTCTACCTTTAGCAAGTCTCGCTGTTTCCCCTGCTTTTAGTCTGTATGCTAAACTAATCTTACAGAGCTTCTTACATGATATATGAAAGTATCAATCAGCTGAACTAACTCTCAAGAACAGCAAGAAAGATTATAATTTCCCAAAATGCCTAGATATTTCTTTAACATTTCAATGTTCTCTTCTTGTCAATCAGGCTAAGACAGGAATAGTCATGAACATAATTGGCATCCTTTGTATAACACTGGCCATTAACACCTGGGCCAAGGCCATGTTTGACCTGGACACCTTCCCCGCCTGGGCCAACGTCACCGGGGTGTGAGCTTGGTTCTGCCAGAGAAGAAGACCCATGCACAGCCTGCCCTCCCTACACCGGCGCCAGACCAAGACCTCTGGTCAGAGCCATAGCACAGGAGCACATGGTGGACCGCAAGTGTCCAATCGTTGTTAGAGTACAACGCCCTCGAGGCTTGTTCTCATTGACACCTGAGTCTTGCTTGTAAAAGAAAGTGGCTATGAAAATGGTTGGGAATGACATTTAAAACAATGTTTTATATTTTATTATAATGAATTTACACTTAAAAGAAAAACGCATTACATTCATGTACCAGTATAAAAAAAATATATATATAGGGTCAGTGTATTCAAAATTGAACAGCCAACAAATGGGCTGTTAATAAGGTCAAAGTTAATTGAAATGTTTTACATAGAAAGTTAACCACATCTAAAAAAGCCATTCATCATAATATAAGATCGTTACTTTGCACATTAACTCAAGTACTGCACTTACACGTACATTTTTTAGATATAATTGTTTTAGAAGATTAACATTTGATGCCGCTTTTGCTTTCACCTTGTATTTCAGAGGGACTTTTGTCTTTTTTTATTAAATGTATCCGACAGCTGTAGTAACTAGTAACTTTTCATATTAAGAAAATATAAACTATTATCATAGATTAATATACATGTATAAAGCACAATCGAAACAAGACACATCATTGAAATTCCTCTTAACGTGTTGAAACTGTAAATGTCTGCCCAAATAGCTCACCGGTCTCTGCTGCCAAATATGGACCAGACTCGTGATTGACTATTTTTACATTGTTTTATATTGCAGCATTTATTAGTACTAGTTTACTTAGTAAGAACCGCTAATGGATTCCCCCTGCACTGCTTTCAAGCACTGAATTTTTAAATCTCAATAAAAACACATCTCATAAAATATATTTAGAGTAACAAACTGTTGTTTCTGAGGTTTGCCCTTTTGTTATTTACAGGTAATAGGCTGAAACATGACACTAAGTTAACGTATGTCCCTGTGTTGATCTTCTGTATACAGATGTATGTTTGTTTGTTAAAGGCTTGTTCCAGCATCTGTTGAACTTTTTGAATCGATACAATGCAAGAAACCAATATTTGCCTTTTACAGTCACACTGCCTTATTGTACTTTAAACAGATGTTCTATCTTTTGATCAATACATTTTAGAAAGTCTGCCTGCAATAATGAATTCTGACTGAATTGCCAAGAAAGAACCAATGTATTTTTCAGTTCTATTTTAAGACTTTTGTACCTGACAGATGACGATTTGAGTACCTTTTATGCCTAAAACGCCAATGGGCTGAAATAGACACATGTATATCATTGTTCTGTGACAAAATAAAAGACAGGAATTAAAATATTGTGAGTTTGAATTATGTTGTATCATTGCCTTCATACATAACACTGGTAGAACAAAATATTTCGTGACTATTTCCATTAGTATTTTCCATTTACAGTATTATTCAAACAAACAAAGCATTACGCAGTCTGTTGTTAGAGTCATGAGCACAACAATTCTCCAAAAACACCTTTAAATCCAAGCTCCTGATTTCACAGCAAGATCTTTATATTTTCCACAAAAGCCCAGGTATAAGCTTTCAACAAGTAAGAGGCTTAAATAAAGCAGATGGAAATAAAACCCAGTCTTAGCCGTTCAAAAACAGCATTGTCATCAGTCAGTGTCATCCAAAACAATATGATCCCACTTTCATCACCAGTGCGATCTTTCTCAACTTCACATGAGTTTAACCTGTGTTTTAGTGCACACGCGTTTCTTTGCCACTTTGCTTAGTAACCTCTTGTCTCGTGCATAAAGCAGATATAATCCTGTGAACACAGTGCAGAAAGCCACAGTAATCCTGGACTGAAAGGCCACTCCTAATGTCTGTATTCAAGAGCTCTGTGTCATTGTCTTCTTGGCGAGACGTTGCATGAGCCAAGGGTCTAGTCATATTGTTCAACATTTTGCGTCATCAAAATCATTAACTCAAAGAAGACATTTCACATGTCTCCATTCTTTTAAGTAATCTAATACAACCCCATCCCAATGGGTATTTATCACCATGAGGAAAATTACGTTTTACAGTAAGACAAAAAGTTAACAATCATTTGACTGTACATATATGGCAGGACAAACTTATGTTGGTGTTATGATGTGATATGATACAAAGACATGTTTCACAGCAGCAAAGGTAGCAGGGAGAAATAAATGAAATGATCCCATCAATGTTGTGGACTCAGTTCTGTTAGACAATTTAAATGTTCAGCGGTTTGAAAGTGGTTAACAAGTGGTTGGGTGCATAGAAGAGTACAGATCACTATGATCTTGAGTCCCACTCTTGGAAAAATGCTTATGTAATTACAGTGCCTTCCTCTCCGTTATACTCCTCTCAGCCACCCACTCATTATCCAATTAAAACACATCCTCACGCATCATAGCCTGCATTATTGGCTATATATACATGTAAGGCTGCAGTAGGGAAAGTGAACCTGCACGTTGTTCTCTTGGCTGGGGTTTCATGCACAGAACACCTCTGGTAACCCATCCCTCGAAAAAGCAAAAACACAACAATGTTTTATTAACTTTATAAGGTATGTTTTAACTTTGTTGTGACTCCTCTACCTTTTGAGAGCACTTTGTGGATGGAAAGGCTTTTTGAAGCCCTTCTACCTTTTCTGTATCAGTTACACACAAGGACAATACGCAGCCTGTTTGATACAATCAATTCTTCCTTGTACTTAAAGTCTTGTGTGTAGGTATGGTTTCAGTTAGCAATGTATCCAATTAAACTGCGGACAAGAGCCAGGCCAAAAGAAGAGGACAGAGGGCCTTTCTTTACACTCTTCAGTTCGAGGCACATTTATACTGATCACGCTAAATAGTAGCCTTTGTCACCATTTGAATCTCATTCAGAGTTTTCATTATTTCGGGTTATATTGTGTTTAAACAATGCATAATCCAAAACAATTTATTTTTAGCCAAATACTTTACAACACCTTCAACATATCATTTTCCATGACTCTTTTAGCAGGTTAATCCAGGTCAAGTATATCCAAACATTTCTGATTCAGTGAGAAGTCAGATATCACTGTCATCTAAAGACTGCACCAAATACATTTTCTGTCAGAGTCATTTCATGTTTACTGTTTTCTCCATGGTATTCATGCCAGGATATGCACTCATACAACTTCACCTTATAGAGCATATTCTCCTTTCGGACACTTGTTTTGCATGTTACACACGCTCAAAAACAGGGTGAGGGATGACTCGTCGAGCTGTTTGACCACAGATCATGTGTTCTTCACAACCATTCACTCCCTAAAAAGGACATTTTGATACGTAATTAGAGGCTAAAGAAATGCAACCCTGCTATTGTGTCCCTCTTTGAAGTTATCAATGGACTGTTTTCATGTAAATGCCTGCTCAATTAAGCCTCAAATTGACTTTAACAGTCAGCTGATTCAAAGATGCTTGCCAGTTTTTCTCTTGTATGTAAAAAAAACAAGTTTTGGTTACCATAGGGCGTGTGACTTTATCCCATAATTCCTTTCCTTAAGAACCACAGTAAAGGATCACATGCTGTTGGAATTATTTGATGTAACAAACAGAGCAATTTTCCTCTTAAAGCTTATAGTGAAATATATTTTTAAGATCGTTTTCATGCTCCTGTAGACAGAATAAATGACAGTCATGGCTGCACTTGATGTCAGGGTGTATTTTTAACCTTACTCGGTCATCAAGATTGTGTATGAACATACTGACTGTTACGAACTCAGACACTTAGGATGTAGGTAGGGTGACCAGATGTCCCGCTTTGCGCGGGACTGCACAGCATTTTCACGACTTTGGGTGCGTCCCGCAAATTGAGACAATGTCCCACATATTTCATTTTGATTGGCTAAAACGCTTTTCTTTAAAATCAGATTTATCCAATGGCTGTTGAGAAAGCAGGGAAGGCTATCATCACGGGGTGTGTTTGCTGTCAATCAAACTGTAACACACGACGGGTGCTGGTCAAGTGTTAACTAATGAGAGTAACTCACTCACACCCCCCCGACCCCCCCCCCCCCCCCCCCCCCCCCCGGCCAAACAACAACAACGAAAGTCAGTCAATAACGCAGGCGAGGCAGCAGGTTATGGAAAATGGAGGAAACTGAAACTACATCTAAGGAGAAAAGAAGATGCACATACAACAAAGACTATACAACAAAGACTGGGAAGACACTTACCCGTGCGAAGCCAGTGCAGGGCGACTCTCAGAGATTTTTTTGCAATCTTTGCAAGAGTAATTTTTCAATTTCACATGGCGGTGAATACGACGTAAACATTTGGGGCCCACCTGTTGTTGCTGTGATGGACAAAACTGAAAGCTATTTTATTTGATGTATTATTATGTTTTTGTTCCCTCCTGGACAGTTTTCATTTGTACTTATGGTTTTATTTTATCTATTAATTTATGTTGTGCCTACTTTTACAGGTAATACACTAGTTGAATTAGGAAGATGCATTTCTAAACACTTGAAGTGAATAATGCATGCTGCCTTGGTTAGCCTTAGTTTACTATTCTTTATTAAGATACTAAATTATTACTGCATTTTGACCTCACTTTCTGTCATTGTTTATTGGATGCTGTTGAATAAACCAAATTAAGTTGAGAGGGTGTCCCACACAAACATACTCCTTGTCCTACATTTGGTTTGTTGGGACCTGGTCACCCTAGATGTAGGATCCAATTGCACGACCCGGGAGACAGAGGTAAAGTATTGAGATACTTTATTTTCCAAATACAGCATTGAACAACAACAAAGGTATAACTATCAAATCTCTAGCCGAGATGACAAAAACAGAGAACAAAAAATGAAAGCGCTCACGTAGTGAGGAATCAAACTTTTTCAAGAGCACAAGGAGCATAGACCTGACCATAGCAAGAGACAATACGAACTGACACTGAACACTGGGAGACAGGGGAATTTAAGCACATGATAATAAGACACAGGTGGGAACAATCAGGGGCGGGCCCGGACTGGCCATCGGGAGCACCGGGAGGTTTCCCGATGGCCTGGCCTGTTAAGTGGCCTGCTGGCCTAAGGATTTTTTTTTTTTATGTATGTATTGTGAACGCAACGCTGCGCAAATGTGGGTCTAACTCTGCCTCACAGAGGGTGACTGGCTGTCTACATGATGTGGCCTGCCGACATGGCCACTTTCATACAGATCATACTAATGCCCTCGATTGGTCTCTGTGTGTCATTCAAGCTCGGTTACGTGTATTGCTGTTAGCATCTGGTGCTAGCTAGCTGCGCTAACGGATATAAGGTGGAGGAGAGTCCTCTCCTGTCAGACTGAGAGACTAATAACTACAGCTCAGGTGAGGTAAATTACTCTCTGAGTGCTTAGATAGTTAACTTAGTCTAAGTGATCTCAGTGGGTCTCAAACGGTTTGGTCACCATTTATGTAAACACATATTTCCATTTGAGGGGGGAGTGATTAGCAAAATATGCATGAATAATAATTTAAAAAACGTTAACTAGGTGAAAAAAGGCAAGATAAACTATTAAAACTTGTTGAGAGCTAAAACTAGTCTTTGCTTCTGCCTCAAAGAGGAGCAGGGGGAGAGGAGGGAGACAGGTGAGGCTGGTTCAGGAGCACAGACACACTCACAACTATAAATGAACCAAAAACAAATAAATAAACAAGTTTCAATGTTTTTTCATATTGGATATGATATGTTATTGGTTATGGCCATGTACTTATGATTTTATGATTATTTAAATATATACAGTTATGTTTCATATGGGTGTAGTCTCTTTATTTCCCCCTCAAAATGCACCAGATTGATGCATTTAAGTCCAACATTTAAAACAAATCTTACCGGGGGAGCATGCCCCCGGACCCCCCTATAGGATTTGAAGTACACCCCCACTTAAAATATGTTCACATAGGTTCCTAAATAGATTTGCACATTTTTTTAAATAGTAACCCATGTCCATATGTTTATTTTTGGGTAGATTTAGAGGGCTATCACTATGGGCAGCAACGCTGTAACAATTGACAAATAAATCCAGCAAAATGGCACAAAAAACTGGTAGTGGCCTGGCTGGGTGTATAATTCCCGGCCTGACTTATTGTCCCAGTCCGGCCCTGGGCTGGCGCTGATGAGCACAGGAGACACACAAGGGGTGGACAATCAGAAGCCTGGAATGAGAGGTAAATGGTGAGTGACAAAACAAACATTAAAAATGAACCTCTCTAGCATTTCTGTCGGTGCACAACACTGACTCGGACACATGTCCTGTTAGGAAATAAAATAAAAACACATCATTACTTGTACATTTTCTTTAAAATATTTGAATTAG